ACACACACACACACACAGAGAGAGAGAGAGAGAGAGAGAGAGAGAGAGAGAGAGAGAGAGAGAGAGAGAGAGAGAGAGAGAGAGAGGGAGAGAGAGATTGTCAACAGCCCATGTGTGTGCCATTCAGCTAGGACGCAGGTACTATGGGGATCATTCCACTGGACTAAAATTGATTTGTCCTGTTCACCTTGTGGTTGTTTTGGTTCAGTGGGGCGATGGTGATAATGATGATGATAAAGGAAGACAGAAGATGGAGGGTGGTGGAGATAAGGATGTCCACAAACGAGAGAACAGGAGATGGGGAACAGTCAGTCGACAAGAAACAAGAAAAGTGCAGGTAGTTTCACCCGCATCGCTCTGCTCTGCCATGAGCTGAAAGAGACAAAGTGCCACTGAGCTGATCGTGTATATTTGCAGCAGGGTTTCATGTCTTGACAACAGGATCTACTTTATGATATCCACCATATGCAGGAATCATCTCAGGCATTACTCTCACTCTAGCTTTATCTTAAATGTATCGGACCGGGATTATGGGTTGAGCTGGATGTATCTAACCAATATTACGTCGTAAAGTAAGTGAAAAAGTCCTATGGTAGTGTAAGTATGCCCTCAGTCTGTACTAGTAGTTCATTGTTCATTGTGTGCAACGTTGCCAATTTCCCTACTGTCTTCCCTCGAACATAAAGGACCCTGAAAATGAATGTGTACAAGCTTCCCGGTTTGGTTACAACCAGATATCTGGTGCCCGGTACTAGGGCGAAGAGGTTTCCTCCCCTCCCCTCCTGTAACGACCTGCACAGTCAATCCTCTGGACGCCAGAGTAATCAATGCTGGCAGGTTTCACACAACTTTCGGTATTCATCCTGAATTCATTCTGTATTCATTTTGTGTAAAGGGACGCTGGACCCGTTTTCCAGCAGGTGATGCTCCCCACCAATAGACGGAGCCTCACCCCGGGTGCTAGTGGTGTCCGATCTTGTCAGCACCACTAGCACTGCAAGGGGGGTGTATTTGAAAAAAAAAAAAAAAAAAAAAGGTCCGTTGTGTCCGGGGGAAGATGGTACTCCACTTGGACAACAGATCATGAAAAAGCGATTGCACAAGACTGTAAGTTTGTCTCAGCCCCGTTAACAGTTGATGCGTTCTCATAATGTCATGTTGCTTGCTCACACACTCAGGGCATGAGGGAGGAGGGGGGGGGGGGGGGGGGGGAGGGGGGGGGGGGGGGGGGGGGGGGGGGGGGGGGGGGGGG